AGATTTGACTTATTTTAAGCAAGGTAGAGATAGACATAAAAAGTCTTGGTGTGATCAGTGATCAATAAATATATAGTGGATGTTTGTGGTTTATAGTGAAAAATATCGAGGATGATATTTTTCTAAGAAAGGTATATTGTAATTTCCCTAAATTTATGTTCACTGAAATGCTTGTAACCATTAAACTTTTTCTTAGTGAGCACTGCGGCATTGTGGTTGTAACTGTGCCAATCTCTCGGGTTTATATCGATTTGAATGAGTGATACAGTTTTGGGGTCTTGAGCTCTGAGACATTGGGTTTGAAATTAATTTTGTTTAAATAAAATTTTTAAACCCTAGACATTAAGAACTCTTACCTACTCAAACCCCCATTTGCTATTACTTGGCCAGGAAGGAGAAAGGGGATAAGGGGATAGAGGAGGAGGGAAAGAGAGAGATAAGAGAGAAAACTCGCTTCAAGGCATTTTATTTGTTGCTCTAATTAATTTTTTTAATCATGGTAGGTAATCTTAATCAACCCTCTATTTTTGATGATTTCAATATTTATCTATTTTTTCAGTCCTAATTTATTAAAAAATTTTATATTCCTTGTTCTGGTGAATTTTCACCATTGTAGATATCATCACCCTGAGCGTTTTTTTTTTGATATGACTTATATTTTGATACATATATATTAAAATAAAATTTAATCTATAGACATGCATTGATTCATAATGGACATGCTATGTTATATTGGGCATGGGTATAGGAATGACAAAATACACTTACTCTTTATATGACCATTGATCATTGATGATAAGTTATATTTTTTATATTGATTTCCATTGTTCATATGAAGTAACACTGTTCTAATCGATTGTTACTTCTTCTTATTACAACATGTGTATAGTGATTTGGATGGAATGATTACATGTAGGTTATTCCTATTTACCGATTTGATTGCAGTTGTATGTTATGATATTCTATTGAGTTGTTAGCTCACTCTATGATTTTTATATGTTTTTAGGATGGGGCAAGATCTAGTGGGGTGAGGCTAGTTGGATCAAGCTTTTCAAGTTTAGTTTAGATTTCTATAATTTATAGTTAGAAGTATTAAAAGAAATATTTATGTTCTGATGTATTGATTGAACTTTGTAAATGAATTTTTGATGAATAGTTAAAATAGTAAAATATTTTGATGTACATAATTAGTTCTGGTGGCTCTATTTAATTAATAGAAATTAGCGACTCTGATAGATTAATTAAATGATGAAATAGACTATTTCTTCACATTTAGGTCTTGTGGTATCACACAAATCTCTTACAAATATAATGTACAGTTATTTGAATTTCCAATAGTAAGAATTTTTTACTGATCCTACAAGATAAAATGTTATTAGAGAGATTTACACCCATATGGAAGAAGTCACCATAAGTAATGAAAAATTTAAGGATCTGAAGAGAAAGAACACAATCAAAGAAAGAGGAGAGCAACTTTTTTTGAATCGGGAGCATAATGTACAAATATCATTAACAATGATACCCCTCATGACTCTTAATTTGAAGGCATAATTATGAAGTTATTTTAAAAAGGATGTTGCATTTGAAGAAGATTTATACCAAATAGAGTCATAAACAGAGAGGCAGGTTGTGTTGAATAATCTCCAAATGATCTTAACTCTTGATAAGATCTCAAGGGTGTCAAATAAGAAAAATTATTACATGTAGACGACGAACGCATTCGGATACCAATCAGGAGCTTCCACGTTACCCAATGCACAGTACATTGCATGACTAGGCAAATGCTGATTGGCCTCCGAATATATTCAACATCTACAAGTAATAATCTCTCGTCAAATATAAAGCAAATCAAGACCTTTATCTTTAGGAAGAGCATTGGAATGAAAGGATGATGTGAAATTTCTAGTTGATACCCTTCCCATATAAAAAATTGTTGATAAGACTAATGAATTTTTTTAAACTTGTTAGGAAAGTTGACAGATCTAAGCCTTTAAGCTTCTTAGGAAAGTTGACAGACCTAAGCTAGTAGAAAATATAATTCCAAATATAAAATACAAAAAACAATCTAAATAGTATTTTTTATTTAATTAAAAATTTTAGAAATCTATTTATATAAATATCTAAAAATTATTGCAACTCATTTTAGCTTATTGGTTGTGCCTTCACGTATTTGGGAAAAATAAACTCTTTATATAAGAATTATAATAAATTCATTGATGGTGACTTCACATGTATTTGAGAACTTCAATAGATGTATGCACATTAATATATAATTAAATTCATTCAAAATCTAAAAAAAAGAGCTTAAAATAAACCCAATAATGATAGAATAAGAATATGATGATACAAAACATTTTTTCACTAAGTTATATTTTTTATATTGATTTCCATTGTTCATATGAAATAACACTGTTCTAATTGATTCTTACTTCTTCTTATTACAACATGTGTATAGTGATTTGGATGGAATGATTACATGTACGTTATTCTTATTCACCGATTTGATTGCAGTTGTATGTTATGATATTCTATTGAGTTGTTAGCTCACTCTATGATTTTTATATGTTTTTAGGATGGGGCAAGATCTAGTGCGGTGAGGCTAGTTGGATCAAGCTTTTCAAGTTTAGTTTAGATTTCTATAATTTATAGTTAGAAGTATTAAAAGAAAGATTTATGTTATGATGTATTGATTAAACTTTGTAAATGAATTTTTGATGGATAGTGAATATAGTTAAATATTTTGATGTACATGATTAGTTCTGGTGGCTCTATTTAATTAATAAAAATTAGCGACTCTGATAGATTAATTAAATGATGAAATAGACTATTTCTTCACATTTAGGTCTTGTGGTATCACACAAATCTCTTACAAATATAATGTACAGTTATATGAATTTCCAATAGAAAGATTTTTTTACTGATCCTACAAGAAATGTTCTTAGAGAGATTTACAACCATATGGAAGAAATCACCATAAGTAATGAAAGAACATAATCAAAGAAAGATGAGAGCAACTTTTTTTGAATCGGGAGCATAAGGTACAAATATGATTGACAATGATACCCCTCATGACTCTTAATTTGAAGGCATAACTATGAAGTTTTTTTAAAAAGGATGTTGCATTTGAAGAAGATTTATAGCAAATAGTCATAAACAGAGATGCAGAGTTGTGTTGAATAATCTCCAAATGATCTTAACTCTTGATAAGATCTCAAGGGTGTCAAATAATAAAAATTATTACATGTAGACTACGAACGTGTTCAGATGCTAATCAGGAGCTGCCACGTCACCCAATGCACAGTACATTGCATGACTAGATAACTGCTGATTGACCTCCGAATATATTCAACATCTAAAGTAATAATCTCTCGTCAAATAGAAAGCAAATCAAGACCTTTATCTCTAAGAAGAGCATTGGAATGAAGTGACCAAACTATTATATCACATGAGATAATAAATTCTTGAAATGAGAAGCTTCTTTTTTATAATTATAGCTACAACTGAAGCGGAGCACGACTCTATTGAGCTTGATTAATTAATGAAATTAAAATAAAATTTAAATTTAGTTTTATAAATCCGCATCAAGTCCCCAAGATAAAATTATTCTTATTGAAATAGTGATTAAAATATCATGATAAAATTAAAACTAATTAAATAAAAATAATATATTTTTAAAATTTTAAACACATTATATAAAAATTATGAAACCTTAATAAATTTAATGCAATTTAGGCTTCGTTTGGGGTGACTTTCTTGTTGCTTTTTAAAACCACTTTTTAGTACAAAATTTTTAATTTTTCTACTATAAAATTGCTTTATGAAGCAGCAAAAAAATCGTCCCGAACGAAGCCTTAGTTCCCAAGTTAAGTGTTGAGTTGGGTTCACCTCAAATTCGACTCAATAGCACATTCAGCATGGCTGGCCAGTTATTTATCTACTCCAATTTGAGCCAATTACCGAGTTGACTTAACTCGATTACACTCTCGTTACAACTATTTGCAAAGTTAGTTATAAGATTATTATGAACAAAATCACTATACAATAATAACATCAAGTTTTTATCACTTTGCATCAGGTCGCCTGCATGCATCTTTTTTCTCTATTGTGTTAAATTAAGAGTCAAATTCTCATTTAAATCTATTAAGAAAATTATTTTTAATATTTTCTAATCAAGTTTTTTAAGATCCAGCTCTGCAACTCTTAAAATAAGCAAGATTTAATACATCTACTCTACTAACCGGGTCATTAAAAAGATAACATTGAATATGACCAAACCATCTAGACGATTCTTATTGTAAAAAAAATATAAGAGTAATAAAATAATTGCAAGTAGAAGACTTATCAAATAACTAGATTGAAGCGTGTGAAAAAAAATAAAAGATCGAAGCGTGTGAAACACTATTCTTAAAGTTACATTTCCACTTCTCCCAAGTGCAAATGTACACATCGATCTAACTCTCAGAATTCAACTAACTCTTTGCGGTGATATACAGTAATCACGAGAAGCAGAAACAACGATGTAGATATTTGCTTTGAATAAATATATGATAGAGTGAATGATGAAGAGAAAAATTAATATTTTTTTCATCATAACCAAAGAAGCCTTATATAGATCATAAAAAAAACCTTTATAATTACAAACTTTATGATAATTAATTTAAACTTTTTTAAATCATATCATAAAATAGCAATAATAACTATTTTAGTTATAACAGTAATAATTATTTATGTTACCAAATTTTCTTTTAAAAACATAAAAAAGATAACTCTGTTTAATCTTATCTGCCATAAGAGCTACTCACTATATATAAAAAAAAAAAAAAAAAAAAAAATCTCAACAATTGTAATACTGTAGCTAATCTAATTTGAAAAGTTAGTTCATTATAAAAATTTTTCAATTCATAAAAAAAAAATTAGAATTATAACCAAAAAAAAAAAAGGACTGAATTAAAGAAAAATAAACTATCAAAAAGCTCTGAATTCTCATGATCAATGCACACTCTGAATAAGAAACACATTCTATTAATCACAGATATTTGAACCAGATGGATTGACAATAAAGATTCATTATTGTTCCCTCTCATCCTGAACTTTTTTTTAAGGCCTTTTAAGCCAATTAGGTCAAATTCATACACAACACGTACACAAGCTTCAAATACAAGATCTCTTGATCAGTATCCAAAGCTCCTAATCAATGGATGAAGGTCTGTGTCTCTCATCCTGAACTTGAGATCATATTTTTAAACTGTACAATTCCTAATTACAATTCCATTTGATACAGTCTAATTCACAGTTATATACCATGAAAACGAGCATAATCTAATGGAGGAAAACTTACTAACCATTTCATGATCCCCAAATTGATATAACAAAATCAATAGACGGAAGCCCCTTCCCAGCCCATCCACTCCTCCCAGGAATCCCAGCTGGAGTCATACATTCCCTTCGGGTCTTCTTCGTCACCAACCCAATCATTAGAATTCTGCCATGATTCCAGTTCCTGCTCTTCCTCTTCTGATGCCCTCAGACTGCTTATCACAACCTGCAATCATGTCTTTTTTCTCATCACAACCATTTAAATGAAATTTGTAGATCATTTCAATGCAGCGCAAAAACAACTGAAGTCGGATTTGAAGTAGATGCAATACAAACTCAAATGTAAGAATTTCTTATAGAAGAGCAAATTTTAATGTTCAATATATATTTATCTGAAAATAAATTTAATAATTATAAAACTCAAAAATCGAATAATTATTTTAAGATAACAAATGATATTTTCCTTTGAAAAAATGTAAGAGAATTATGACATTATAAAAGGCATTTTCTTTAATTTTCATTTTAACAGGACTAGAGAGGATCAGAACGAGAAGAGGGAGAGTCGTACATCATAAGCTTTGTTGATCCGATGAAACTGAACTCCACAATTGCTTCCCTTGCAAACATCCGGATGATACTGTAAAACCCACAAATCAAAATCTCAGTGAAAAAAACTACTTTCACCCAAACATAAGAAATCCACAGAACAATTTGATCAAATCCCATCCCAAACAAAACCAAAAGATCCACAAACCTGCAAAGCGAGCCGTCGAAAGGCCTTCTTGACCTCCTTCTCAGACGCCCCTGGCTGAATCCTAAGCATCCTGTACTCTTCCATCAGGCTTCCCGTGCCGGCGGCGGCGGCGCAGAGAACTCCCTCAGGCCTCTTCTTCCCAGTCTTCACCTTCCTCCAGGAAGGGCTAATCGCCTTTCCAATCGAAATCAACATCGATCTAGCTTGCAGAAACCCTAATTTCCCCTCACGCTATTTAGATAGAACGGAAACTTCACCGCTGGATCGGATTAGTGTTTCAAATTTATAATGGTAAGGGTAAGATGTGCCTGCGTGGAAGGAATGTGGAACAAGACCTCGTTCTTATCCGTTTCTTTTGATAGAGTTCCCAACAAAATTTGAAATAGGTAAAATTATATGTGGTTTTATGTTTTTTTAATATCCAGCAATAATTTATAGAATATTTGATGTAAATTTATAGTTAAAAAAATAATTGTATTATTTAATTAGTAGTTTATTCATATTTTTAAAAGACATGTGGTGTATATAAATGAGTCATATAAGAATACGTGGAGTACAAAAATTCAATTATTTATGAGTTGGAGAAAATGGCAAATAAAGCTCGCTTTGATATAGACATTTCGGCTGATTAAGTCAAATTTTCACGCACATCATTTATGTAAGCTATGAATTCAAGATATTTTGGTTGAAAGCTAAAGCTCCTAAGCCTCCTAACCAATTGCAAACTTTGATGTGTTAGTTGGAAACTGTAGGTTGCAGGTGACGTTCAAGCGTCGTCCAGATTTCTTGCGCGGTGGTGGCGGTGATGACGTATGGTAGAATGCTTGGTGAGATCGTTGCGAAGAGAGCCGACATTAAGTTGCTGTCAATGAGCGTCCAGGCAGCATGCTCTGCCGATTTTCCATCAGACGGAGGAGGTTCTGCTCCAGTTAGATGTCCGACGTATTTGTTGGCCGTGACCTGCTGAAGAACTTGAATCCGCCAGATAGCATAGTTGTCGATCGTGAGGGGGTGTGGGATGAGATTCTTGATATTTGAGATAAGGAATTTAAGAGTCGCCGGAATGCTTATATCTGGTTGAGTGCTGCCGGGCTGAATGGAGGAGGATGGAGGGCGGGAAGAAGAAGAGTCTTAATCTCCCATCTAGGCTCTGATACCATTTAGGAACTGGCGTGTAAGAGCCAGAACTCACGGATCGGTTTAGGGAGAAAAGACAAGAGCAAGAAAGAGGAAAAGAGAATCTTATGTTGATACCGAGATGTTTACAGTGATCCTATAAATAGACTATTGCTGGTAAAGATGTAAATATTCTAATACAGGTTAATGCTAATACATTGGTCGCTAACATAATATATGTTTATATTTATCTTAATTGGCTCAAATGTAAAAAAAAAAAATCCCAATTGCATGGGCGGATGGGCATTCATTCCGCAAGTCGCAGCCTTCTCCCTCGCGTGTGCGCGAACAACAGATGGCCTTGTGAGGCCCAGACGTACGGCTTCAGGCGGCGTTAGGCTTGCCGATGAGTTTCGCAGCCTTCTCCTCCCTCACCTCAGGGCCCTCACACGTGCGCTTGCACGAACAACAGTCAGCAGACGTTCTCGCGAGTCCTAGATGGCGGTCGATGACTTTAGGTTTGCCGCTGAGTTCTTTTTTGCAGATTTTCCACATGGCGACTGTGCTGCTATGTGAGTCTTTAGCCGTTTTGCCCAGAGAGGCGAGAGGTAAAGGTTTTTTTGTTGATTTCAGTTTAGAGATATTTAGTAATGTTTTCCTGCATATATTAGTTTTGTAATTTTTGTTTCATTTATAGAATTTTTGTATATTGGCTGTTTGAATCCTAAAAAATGTATTTTAAATATAACAAGTTGATTAAAATAATCTTAAAAAAAGTTGATTACAATGACACAGTTTTATCCAACTGATTTTAGTCTTTTTGATCAGGCGGTTCTTGAAAATCAAATGGATACTTATATTATGGACATATGATCTGATGATCAATTCTATAATTTAAAATATATACGAAGCCTTGCTGGGAAAATGATCAAAAAGTAGAAAAGATGTTATATATCATGTTATTTTAGACTACTAGAACTGGTATTGGTATTATTCATTGCTACAATAGACGTCTAAAGAGTATTTGAATATTATAAAAAATTGACTGCGAAATATGATTGGAGATCAATGAATGAGTGATTTATTAATTGCTTATATTGAGAAAGAAATTTTAGATTATATTGAAAATGAAATAATCATTCAATACTTTCAGAATATGAAAAATAGACGTTATAAATTATAAGTTTTTTTTACTATCTTATATTTAATATTACACATTTTTAGATGATAATTACAAATAAAATTTGAAATTGCATATACCGGTCCGAAGTCTAGATGAAAAAAAGTTGAGGGCAAATTTTTCTCTAATATAATGAAAACTCCATCACTTTATGTGGTAATATACATAGGCTTGCTTTTGTTAAATCACATAAATCTCCATGTACTATATATTTAATTGTCTTTTATAGATTATTGAATGGTTTATCATACTTTCTTCAAGATTAATGCTTTCAAGTTAGAGGCGCATTGCTTTTCTTAAAAACATAGCTAAAGGCCTTTTTTAGATGATTACCCTACCACTCCATGCAATAAAAAATTATTATGTGCAGAGTTCGAACATAGCTCGAGTCTAGACTTTTACACATGGCTTGTATGCACCATGTGTACAACTTATAAAAATTATTATGTGCAGAGTTCGAACATAATTCATTGACTCTAGTCTTTTATAGATTATTGGCTGGATGCTTTCAATATGCACTATCATTAATACTAGCTTGATATTTGTGAGTTTTCAGCAAATCAATATTAACATTTAATATTGATCAATGTAAATGTCTGTTGATAAAGATCAACATAATAAGTGATACATATAATCTTAATGGTATAAAGTTTCCAGAATATTGATTTACTTAAATATTTTGTTGGGAGGTCTTTTTGAAAGTAATAAACATTTACTTTGTATACTATTTGCGGAAAGTATGGAAATTAAATATATATGCTGATGATAAATATCAACACTCTTTTTATTTAATGGATCGTTTTTATTGAAAGCATGTATAGCATATATAACTATCAAAATGTATTTATATTAAACATTGTGATCAATGCAGGTTTAATTCTGAAGGCCCTTCCTCCTCCAGCATGTGAACCCGAGGCGGCTGTCACCACAAAATTCATTAATTAATTAGTTTGTATTTTATTTTTAGAATTTTCTAGAAAGACTCTTCATCTTCCTCTCTTGCAACTATAAATATCCCATTTGGTGGAGGATGAAAGGCACAATCCCTTGTGCCGGTCCAAGCATTCCTCTAGATTGGTAGCTCGGGGAGCGTAGGTGGCGATCAAAGCCTTGTTCTCTTGTGTCGGTCCAAAATTTTTACTTGGATTGGTAGCTTGGGGAGCATAGGTGGCGATCAAAGCGAACATTGGCGGCGATCGAAGCCTAGTTCTCTTGTGCCGGTCCAAATTTTTTCTTCGATTGATAGCTCGGGGAGCTTAGGTGGCGATCAAAACGAACATTGGTGGAGATCAAAGCCTGGTTCTATTGTGCTGGTCCTTTTGTCGATTGGTAGCTTGGAGGATGCCGACGACGATCAAAGAAATGCCCTATTGTGTCGCTCCTTGTGTGGATTGGTAGCTCAGAGGGCGTTGACGACGATCAAAGCATTGACCTCTTGTGTCGGTCCTTGTGTGGATTGGTAGCTCGGAGGGCATTAACGATGATTAAAACATTGCCCTCTTGTGCCGATCCTTGTGTGGATTGGTAGCTTGGAGGGCGTTGATGACGATCAAAGCATTGCCCTCTTGTGTCTGTCCTTGTGTGGATTGGTTGCTCGGAGGGCATTGGTGACGATCGAAATTTTTCTTTCTTGCAAAAGTATAAACAACCCGACAATGGCCACTTTTGGGGAGAGATTTGGCAATAGAAATGCCTTTAAGGTGATTTGACTATAATCAGCAGACAGGTAGAACCCTGTAATGTGTGGTGACTGGGTGGAAGTTCGTTGGCAGTCATGTGAAAGTCTGACAGTGATCAGGAAGAAGTTTGACTACGATTGATAGTTAGGAAGAGACCTGATGACGTTCAAATAACAAGAAAAATTCCGACGCTAATTAATGATTGGGAAGAGATTCAACGATCGTAAGTTAATCCTTTAATGCATGGAGTATGCCAATGAAAGCCTATTGGAAGTGGTTATGTGGTATTCCGACGTTAGAGAATAGGCGATGAGCTAATGACAATAATTAAGTTGCATTTTGTTGAAGATAGAAGGTATGCATGATGACAGGGGCATATAACTGATAATTTGATGGTGGGGGTCAAACATTGTGTCAACTGTAACTGTCTAATGATACACCAATGATGATAATAGAGTGGAGGCCTATCGAGGATCCAATCTTTCTTTGAAGGAACCGAGAAATGCTTTGAAATGCTTTAGGGAAGAAGTTGATGGGATCCATAAAAGATGTTTAACTATTTGAAGAGGTCCAGGAAAGCCACCAAGAATTTTTGATCTACCCAAGGTTGTTGTCAAAGCGTTGTTTGAAGGCGTTAATCTGTATGAAAAAGGTTGAAGAATCCGTTAAGGATGTATGACATATTCGAGGTTATTTTTCAGAGCGTTGCTCGATGACGTTAACATGTGTGGAAGAGGTCAAGAGAATCCACCAAGGATATTTGATCTATTCGAGATTATTTGTCAGAGCTTTACTCGATGATGTTAATCTGTATGGAAGAGGTCGAGAAAATCCACTAAGGATGTTTGACTTATCCAATGTTATTTGTCAGAGCTTCACTCGATGACGTTAACCTATATGGAAGAGGTCGAATCGAATCCCCCTGTGATCGATTATGTCTTAATTGGGAGGGAGCATATGTTGCATGTAACCCAAGTAAAATATGAAGATTGGTATATAATTAGACCGTTGTTATCTTTTGAGGTCGAGATTAAGACCATGCCCATTGGGAGAAGTCCAGCTATAGATTGTATACAGCTTGCAATCTATTGGAAGAATCTTTCTATTTGCTAGAAGCTTTATAAAAAAAAACTTTTCGAAGATATCTTCTTGAATGTTGGAAGCATTAGAAGGATCTTCTTGACCACGACTGCAGACAAGTTTGCCCCCCAATTTACATATGATTCCAAAGAAATTGATGGAACAATGGTTAATATTAAAAAGTTGATTTGAACAACATTTTGAGTAGAGAGCAAAAGTTGCCCTCCAGTCAGGAACGACGTTCTCACATATGGCGCCAAATTGTTGCGTCCTAGAAAATTTGCGGCG